GTGGCGATGAGGGCAGCCCCCCGCTCCTCCTCCACCTCCTTGGCGATCTCCCCCAGCACCTTCCGACGGGCTTCGAGCTCTGAGACGTGCCGGCGGTGTGCCTTGCGGCCCACCTCCACCATGGCCTCCACCGAGCGTTGCCCCTCTTCGACACGCGCCCATGCGGCGTCAAGCTCCGCCCGCTCTGCTTGCAGGGCCTCCACTTGGGCACTTAACCCGTCCAACACCGTGGTGTTTGCGACGGCCAAGGCCTGCAGAAGGGGTTCTGCGCTCAGTGAAGCAACGGAAGGCGTGGGGAAGAGCCGCCTCGGTGAGGATGCCGCGTGGCTCGGCCCGCCGATGGACGTGCCGGACTCAGGGATGTCCCCCGGACCTGGCTTGTCCTGAGCGTCGCCCGAGGGAGTGGGCCCAAGCGATGCGCCCGCGGCCTCGTCGCGAGCTGCCTTGGAAGTCGTCGCCGCCTCGGCCTGGCGAAGTCTGGCCTCCTCCCGAGCGGCTTCTTCAGCTTGGCGAGCTCGGACGGCCACCTGGGCGGCCTCCTCGGCTTCCCGTAGGCGATCCGCGGCTTCTCGCCGGTCAGATTCCCGCCTCCGAGCCTCTGTGGTCGCCGGGTCCTCGGCCTCAGACTGGCCGGACTTGGAATGGCGGGAGGGACGCGACGGGATCTCGCTGAAACAGAAGAAAGACCAGAAGACAAACAAGATGGATGAGTGAAAACTCGCGTTGAGGAAATGAATACGGCCACGATGGGCGTGGGACGAACCTGCGAGGGGGTCGGTTAAACGACCACCTTGGAGGGGAAATGAGGTTTCCCCGGGATGGTTCTGTCCCCCCCATCTTGCGGAGCCGTTTTTTCTTCCGCTCCCCCTCGGGCTGCGACGTCGGCGTAGCCCCCTCCGGGCGCCTGCTGCTGGCACGCGCCACCCCGCCCCCTCGGGGAGGAGATGGGGGAGGGGCTCCTTCCTGCTTCCTCTTCCCCCGGGCGTCGGCAGGGCGGCCGCTCCCCGGGCCCCCGTCGCGGGGCCCAGAAGCACGACCCCCTCCCGGGGTAGATTGTTCCCCCCTGCGGCTCCCGCCCGCGTCATCGTGGCCTCGAGGAGCCCGCTCCTCCGACGCCCCGACCGCCTGCATGATGGTCAGGATGGAGGCGCGGTCTAGATCGCTGCAGAGGGGGAGGACTCCTTGAGGAATGAGGGATGCCTCCACGGAACTGAGATTCAGCACCCGTTGGACCACTATCTTGAAGTCCTCAGGAGCCCAGTCCCATCTGACCCCCTGGTGGGTCCTCATACAGTCCTCGGACCCGGTGTACTCCCAGGCGCCCCAGGCGCGCCGCTGGAGTGGCGCGATCCGGCGACGAAGATAGTCGCCGAACACCATGGCCCCTGTGAGCCCCTGGGATCGCAGGCCCGCTAGGCGGTCGAGGACGGCGTCGTAGCCATCTCCCAGATCTACCGGCGCCCGCCAGTTGGAGGCCTGCGCTGGAGGCTGGCTCGGAAGTCGGAGGCGCGCTTCGTCGGCGAGGGGGGTGTAGAACCAGTCGCTCTTCCAGTCATCCCACTTCTTGCGGAGGACGCAGGGAATGTAGCGGTTCAGCACCGGCCCCCGCGGCTGGAAGTAGCAACCACCAACCACCGACGGCGGCGACACCGGCTGTACGGTGAAGAACCACCGGAACAGCCGAAGGGATGGGCGCACCCCGATGAACATCTCGCACAGGTGCGCGAAGATGGCCAATGTCATTACCGCGTTGGGGGTGAGGTGCGCCATCTGGAGATCGTAAAACTCCAGAACATCCATGAAGAAAGAAGAAAATGGCGGAACCAGCCCTGCCATAGCAAAAGGGAGGAAGAAGACAGACCGCCCCGGGTAGCGTGGCGCCGGGCATCCCTCGCCCAGCGAGACTATCTCCCGGCCGGTGGCAGATTCCGGCATGAAGCGGCGCGGCAGCCCGGCCTGTCTCTCGCTCACGATGCGGGAAGGCGGCAGCACGCTACCGTCAAGCGGAGCGGAGCCCCATGCCATGACGCCGAAAGAAGAGATGTTTGAGAGCGAGCGCGTGTGGCGAAGGTAGGGCACAGGAAACAAGGAGTTAGGGCGCAAGCGGCGAAGACAAGGGGAATAATGGCGAAAGGAAGGAAGCAAATCTCTTCCTCGGCGACTTTATACCCTTGCCAATGCTGTGTCCGGCTCCTCGTTTCTCGCGCCCACTATCTTGCCCCCTCGTTTCTCGCGCCCACGCTTCCACTAATCCCATTCGCCCATTTGCGGTGCATGAGGTGGATATGCGGCTGTGGCAGTCGAGATGGAACATCTCGTGCGCGCGTTAATTACGCTCGCCGACCGAAGCGCCATCACCATATCTCCAGGAAAAACGAACCGGCTTGTCCCGATTTTTAGACCGGCCCCACCTGTCACCAGGCCTTAGGAAGTGGCGTCACGCCCGACCGCTTCCCTCGAGGAGGGCGATCGCCCTGGCATAACGCCGGGGGCTACTGTCGGTGACATGGGACCGGGAGTATCATGACTTAGAGACTTGAGGCAGACACGATCACCCACGTGGCCTAATCCCCTCGGGGGGGGGGGGGGTCGGGCCCGAGGGTGATACGGCCGCCCTTCTCTTTGTCTCCCCGAGGGGTCGGACCGCTCCCGTCTCGGCCCCGAGGGCCGAGGCGCCCCGACCCCTTGTGGGTTTTGCGCCGCGTATATGGGGTAGGTGAGCATAGCGGGGCTCACCTAACCACATTTATTGCGGTTTGGACGAGCGCGTCACGCCGCATGTAACGCAGTGCAGCGCGCTCGTTTATCCGGTCAGTGACCAGTCACAGACCGATTAGATCGTGGGTTAGGTGGCGACAGGCGGTCTGACGCACGCCTCGCCCCATCCCGTCAGGATGAGAGCCTCCAAGCACTCGTCCCTAGCCGGAGCCGGCGTGTTAGCTCCTGGAGATGGCACGTTGGTCCCGGTCAGATATATACCAGGCTTCATCCTAACCATTACAAGCAAGACATTGTATGAAGAGGGGCGAACATGCAGATTGATAAACTGACGCGTGGTGGACAAGAATGACCGATTTGTGACCGGTCTGACACTGGTCATGTCGTCAGCAGACAGCCATGTTCCCACGTCGCGCCTGCTTCCGGCGGAAGTGGAGGTAGGTATGGGCCGTCCCATCAGAAGGTCATTCGGACGGTAACCATACAAGTCTCCGTCTGTTTATGAAAAGATAGGATAAGTCCCCACAAAAAAGAGAGAGATGGTGCATGTGGTATCCCCTTGAGGTATAAAAGGAGGACCTTGCCCACTTAGAAGGGGGATTTTTTTTTTCGGATCCAGAACGATCAGAGAGGGAGAGAGTAAGAGCTCTCTGGTTCTCCAGCTCTTTTGTAGCTTCTTCATACATAGATCCACCAAAACACAGGAGTAGGGTATTACGCTTCTCAGCGGCCCGAACCTGTATACATCGCCCGTGTCTTGTGTGTTTCCATTCTCGCGAACCTTCCACACACAGACTAGGAGCTTAGGATCTCACCCAGGGCCCCCGGCCGAACCGGCAAAGGGGGACCTGCACGGTCTCCCGGTGAGGAGCCCCACGCTCCGTCATAATGGTTTCTTCTTTTCCTTTCCTTTTGTTTTACAAGTGTTCGTACTAATTTAAACTTGTTTGGACTCTAACAAATACAACAAGATAAGGATATCATAATTAAGAGTAGTTACTTTGTGCTTGTGAGTCGGCTTTTATTCTCTAGTGGAGAGTTTGGCGTATTCATTGTGTTTCTATATTTTTGTTTTGTTGTTTTATCTTGCACAACATGTTGGGCATTTGGACAAAAGGGTGGATATGTCTAATGTATGTGGTTTGCAAAAACTTATAAACATAAAGGTGGTAGCTCCAACCACCATATTCTTTTCATACCACCTACATTAGGAATTTCTTCATGGCTTGAAAGGATTTATTTTTTGGAATTCTCTGCCAAAAAAATTGTACAAAAAATATTACATCAAATTATACTAGACAAAAAAAATCCTTGTTAGATAGAGAAAAAATTATGCTGTTCTTATAAAAGATGTAGCTTATAAATATCCCCTTTCTCAGATAACCTCTGGTTTTGGTGCACAAAATGTAGGGACTAAAAAAAACCATCATAAGAAGATAGCAACAATACACTACTCTAAACGATCCATAAAAGAAGCTACTATTCGGTACAGCTTTAAAACAATACATACATCATTTTTTCTCTTAACAATTCTCGCACGAGGAAACAAACACATAGTTTTCTAATGATACTTCGGCTAAGTTCTTCTGTTAGCTTTTCCATCTCGCTCTTATTTTCCACGCGTACGCTTTCTGAACTATCAAACTGTGTATTTTTTTTTTTTTGCAAAAGTAACTCAATACAGAAGTTGCTTTAAAAAATCATATTGATGTATTGTTAAAAAAAAGATAATACTTAATCAATCACACACTAATGGATCACTTTGTTCTACGTGTTCCCAGCTCCCGCTAAAGAACACAACCTTCGTCACTCGCCACCCATCACAAGACAAGTTAGGCATGAAATACTACGACACTGAACTGTTGGAAAGCCGGTGTGAGCGTAGCTGCTCCATTTCCCACCGGACAACCCGTTGAAAAAAAACCCGGAAGATTAGCTGCTTCCACACGGATCGGCTCATCTCCCTCCCTACTGTCACCACTCACTCACACTGTAGTCTGCGTGTCTGTACGCTTTGACACGTTTGACCCGCCGCAACTGCAAGACGACAAGATGAGACACGGGTGGCAAAACCCGTAATTCCAACCCCTACCCAGGGTCAAACCCCCTCGCTTCAATAGCTTCGTGGCTAATTACCCATGAGCCCCTCGAAATTATCCTATATTTAATCCGGTATTAAAGTGGTTTTCCCGTTTTGCCCCCCCCGGCAAGCAAAAGGCAACGGGCATTTTTCGATTTCCGCATTAAAAACTCGGCCCCGCTTTTGTACGCATCCTCTCTCTCCTACGAAACAACGACAATTTCGGTTTCTTTACCAAAACGCGGCACTAATTTAATACCCCGATAATTTAATTCGGTTTTAAAATTTTACTCCGTTTTTTTAATTCGTTAATTAATTTATTAATTTATGTCCCCTCTCTCTCCTCTTCCTTTTTTGCTTTTAGTTTTGGCTTTTTATTTCGCCCCCATTTCCATTCCTTCCCTTTTGCTCTTGCTGCTCCTCTTCTCCTCGCTTCGTCTTCTTCCTCCTCTCGCCTCTTCGTTGCGAGTAGAGAGATTTTTGTTGTGATTTTTGAGGGAATATTTTTGGATTTTTGGTTTATTTTTGTGTGGGTTTTTTTGGAGGTGTATTTATTTTGTTTTTTTGGTGGTGATTTATTTTTGAGAGGTTTTAAGGGATTAAGGGAGGTGTGTGAGGAAGATGGGGTTAGTGTGTGTGAGCTCCAATGGCGAGAGCTCGTGGCGGAAACCCTACTAGGTTGAGGAGGAGGAGGAGGTCGTCGTCGCGCTCGCGTGTGGACCATGGAGGCCAAGTCGGGGGAAGCGAGCGTTGCGCCGGTGGCCGTGGCGACCGAGGCAACGGCGGCGACGGTGAGCTTCCAGCCGCAGGCGGCGGTGGCCGAGCAGGGTAGCTCGAGCGGTGGTGTGCTGGTGCCGCCGCCGCCTATGGCGGCGGGAGGAGGAGGAGTTGTGGTGGCGGCGGCGCCGGTGGCGGGGGTGGTGAAGGTGGGGAAGAAGAGGGGGAGGCCGAGGAAGTATGGGCCGGACGGGAGCCTGATCCGGCCGCTGAACGCGACGCCGATCTCGGCGTCGGTACCCATGGCGGCCTCCGCGGTGGGGCCCTACACGCCGGCGTCGGCGGTGGGCGCCGCCATGAAGCGCGGGAGGGGTCGCCCCCTCGACTTCGCCTCCACGGCCAAGCTCCATCACCACCACCAACACCAGCACCATCACCAGCAGCAGCAGTTCGGCTTCCACTTCGACTCCATTGGTTGGTATCCATCTCCTACTCGCATCTCATCTCTCCCCCAAATTTCCTCCCAAAAAAAATCCATAAAACTTGATTTATTTTTTTTTGTCAACCCAATTCTGCTCAAGAGAGAATTTAATTTTGATTTTTTAGCTCTGAGAAATTAATTAGGCGATTAGAGGAGGAGGAGGAGGGGGCCAATGGCAGAAGTAGTAATTGGGGTTGAGGCGTCACTACTTGTCATGACACTGTCTGTCTGTCCCTCTCTTATCCGAATATTTCTTTGTCTCCTCCCGCTCTATCCAGTATCCACCCCAGTGTAGTGTTGCGTTGCATGATCAGATAGATGGTCAGGGACCTCAGGTTGTTGGTGTCCTCCCAAGATTCGAAGAAGCGAGTAGTGGGGGCCAGATGGAGGCATATCCTGAATCCTCAAAGCCTCATCTTGTTGTTATTGTGGTTGCATGCATGGTGGGGCTGTGCCCCGTTGTGGGGGTGGCATGGTGGTGGTGGTTACTAGTTCTGTGGAACTGGATTGGGATCGAGATGGATCAAGCGAAGATCCTGCGAGTCAGGATGTACTTAGGCTCCGGTACCTTTCGATCAATCATCATCCCTGTCTCTGTTGTGCTTCTGCCGTTGCTGATGGCAACACGAAAAGGCCGCGATGTCCTGGCGAATCTGGTCTTTCTGGCAGGTTGTACGAGCTGGAATGGTTGGATTGGAGCATGCTAGCGTTGTCAAGCATCATGAATGCATAAAGTACTGAAATTTCAGTGTCATGGAAATGTCCGCGGGCTGCTGTAGTCGCGTTGCGCTTGTTGCAATCTCTTGAGCATTTTTACCTCGTTTCGAAATTACCTGCCGTCAGTTTGTTAACCATTGTGTGTACTGGCAGGTGAAATGGTGGCTTGTTCTGCTGGTGCGAATTTTACTCCTCACATCATCACTGTTGCTCCTGGAGAGGTATGTAAAAATCAACGTTTTCTTGTGTCTTCACTGGCATCTTACATTGGGTTCAATTGATCAAGATGTATGAGTTCTTGTTGACAATGATTGAATGTGTTCTTTACTTGAATTTGATTGAATAATACTGTACTACAGAGCAAGTAAAATTTTCAGACTGTTTTGTTGAAGGTTTTATGGTTGTGAATCATATGGTTTCAGGCTTTTCTGCAACATAGTGTGATTACTTGCATCATTTTATGTATTTTGAAACATTTTATGCTATATCATGTTTTATACATAAACAGATGAAAGGCGTTTTAGTTTTTACTGCTTTGCTTAGATTAGGTGGGCTGCAAACCTTGATATGAATTTTGGATATGCTCGAATTTTGTTTATCAGACTGGATATGCTTCTCTATGTATTATGTTTTGGCCTTCAAGCCTGTTAAAATGCTTCTATTCTTGCAAATATTTGCATAGTTATAGCTATGCTCCTTATTTTCTAAAATTCTTCTTTTTGAAAGTCTTAATAATATGTGGTACTGATGTTTGTTGCATGTAATTCAGGATGTGACTATGAAGGTCATATCATTTTCTCAACAAGGACCACGAGCTATCTGTATTCTATCTGCTAATGGTGTGATATCAAACGTTACACTGCGTCAACCTGATTCCTCGGGTGGCACATTAACTTACGAGGTTTGTAGACCTACTCTTGACATACACAGCGATGCTTTACATGCCTTTTTGTTTTTGTTTCAGATCTACCATGACATGATTTCGTATATTTGTCTAAAGATGAAAATTTTCTGATTGGCCTTATGGTTCCCAGCTGATCTCCCCTATTTTTATTGTAGGGACGTTTTGAGTTGCTATCTTTGTCTGGATCGTTTATGCCTACTGAAAACAGCGGAACACGGAGTCGGTCAGGTGGGATGAGCGTTTCTCTTGCCAGCCCAGATGGCCGTGTTGTCGGTGGTGGAGTTGCTGGCCTTCTGGTGGCAGCAAGTCCTGTTCAGGTGCTTTTTCTTACCTTCAATTGAGATCTGAATGGATCCCATTTTTGGCAGAAACGCATTCCATGTTTTGTCTGATAAATCGAGCAAACACGGTCCATTTGTTGTACTATTTATCTGTGTTGAGGTGATTGAAATGCCATCTAATATACATTTGGATTCCAGATTGTTGTCGGAAGCTTCCTACCAAGCTATCAAATGGAACAGAAGAATAAGAAGCCTAGGGTGGAAGCGGCACCCGCCCTTGCACAGACTCCTCCTGCTGTTCCAATCTCTAGTACCGATACGCACAGCAGCGAGCAAGGGCAGCACAGCTCCGTCGCCCCAAGAACAACAAACATCGTAACCTCAGCATACAACCCAGACCAGAGCTGGGCATCTCCTGCTCAGTCGATACCTGACAGCGCGAGAACACCATCGGGCGATGTGAAGGTCACCGCCTCTGGAGCCTGAAACTGAGATGAACTGACCAGGATCCATGAAATTCCTGGTCTGTCACTGCTGCAGCCGCACACCATGATCGCCGGTGGCGGCCAAAGATGGCTTCATTTCTTTCTGACTTGTAAAAGATGTATCTGAGTTCCAGTAGGTTTTCCATCTTCAGGCAGAAGAGTCTAACTGCAATTGCTGTAGCTGTCCCGATATTAGTCACTGTTTAAGCATCAGGCTACCCTGCTTCCTTGTAACACCATGTCGGTCTTATTGGAGATTGGAGAGTTCTGTAGTTACAAAATTGTACTATTAGTTCTGTGTGTGTGTGTGTGTGTCTCTAGGCTTCTTTTTCATTTTGTTGGATTACTCCACTTAATTTGCTCCTGGTGTACCCCTTATTAAATTAGCATTAGAATTTTTTTTCACTCTAATTAACTGTTGTCTAAACTGTACACATGTTGTTAATCTTCGTACATATGGGAATGCTCTCTTCTTTTCTTCTCTGACTGACAGTGGGCCCAACTTCACTGAAGTTCTACTGAAGAAGCTAGCTTTGGGCTACTGAATCTTAATCTTCAGAAGTTCAGCAGCTAGGACCGGGTAATCTTCAGGTGAAACATCCAAACACAATGCTGATACTCGGGGCCCACATGTCAGTGACAGCTGACGAAACTTCACGCCAAGATTCGCACTGCATTGGCACGCACATGTTCTTCTCCAGATCATCACCACCGGTCAAAAAGAGAGGCCAGAGCCAGAGTCGTTGTGAAGATGATTAGCCCACGGTGGAAGAAAGCTAATTAAGCTAGAGTTAGCGCTAATAAAGCCATCAAGTGCGTGCTTAGCAACAAAAGCTGGGATGGATGGATGGATGGATTAAATTAGCAGCTGCAACAAGAAAAGGTTTAAGCAGAAGCAATGTCAGTGAAGAGAGACATGAGAATTCAGACAGCTTCCCGGTCTTAAGGGCGACCATGTGAGAGAGACAAGGCTGCGTGCATGAAAAGGCGCCAACCAGACAGCCCATGCATGCATGCATGCAAGAGGCTGACCAATCAGCGGCTCATGCGGCCACGTGATTAGTGGTCTAGTCAAGTAATTAGTTAAGTAATTAGCCATGATCAGAGCCGTACAATAAGTAACACACCCTCGTTAATCATGGTTCAGACACTCCTGAAGTCCTGAAGAACTAGCTTTAATCTGTGCTAGTTTCTGTCATGCTTAATCTTTAATCAGCATACTAACTAACTACAGGAGTAGTTGATAGTTGTTAAAATATACTACTAGGTTTTGTCATACGATTCGACTTTACCATCCTAATTAAGAGACCTAATCCTATGATTCTAATAAGTAGAATCTACGATTATTATGTATAAGGTTATGTGATTGCGATCCTATTTAGAGACCTGCGATTTTGATTTAAGATCACGATTTTAATGACCTTCATGCCTGAGGTTATTTTGCAAGTAACATTTGAATTGCTGGTTTGAAGAACTGGTTAAAAATCTTCTTTTGATCGGTTGGTCGTATATATTCGTTAAAAGTCTTTGAGCTTGAGACAGATGTTTGCAGGGTCTTTCTGAATTTTCTGTACTGCTACAGCTACAGGATGAGTTGCAGTTGCAGGAGGCAGTTTGGAGTGGAAGCGAAGGCGCTGTTTGTGTTAAATTCGTATTAGCCGAGACGACAGAAAAACGCTGCCGGGATTGAAGGTTCAGCAACCTCGAACTCGCAGACATGTCTGTTTCTTGGTCCTTGGAATTGGAGACATTGGGGAGTGGGAGCTACGATCACTAATCAACTAATTAATCTGCATCCCCAATGCATATACTACTAGTACTAGTATCATGCTTAATTAACTACTAATAATAATCTTTTAACTAATCTAGCTATCTGATGATATTGGCTGGTCACAGCTAAAGCCTAAAGATAGCCAGCTACTCTACCTAGCTAGCCAGGAAAGTACAGGCAGCCGCAAGAGGAACAGCAGCAAGGATCCAAAAGCAGCAGCAGCAAGCGAAAGCTCCGGAGATGGGTCAAGATCGAGGTAGACGACGACGACGACGACGAATGCTTGCATGCGACGAACCCTAGCTCACACTCTTGTTGTTTTCTCCTTTGCTGTCTGAGATGCAGATGCAGATGTCCAGGGATTAGTCGTTAAGGGTGTTAACATTCAGGCGTCAATTTAGATTTCTCCGTGCCTGTCAGAGATTTAATTAGTCAGATACTGATTAGTGGGCTTATTATTAACATATGTTGCGCTTAATTGTTGCCGCTAATTACTCGTATGAACCGTAATTGTCTGTACTCAAAAGTCTGAAACCAAAGGGATACCACCACATTGACATCGCCAAAGTTTCAGATTCAGACTAGTACAATCTCCTGTAGCAAACTGGAACTGCTCCCTGTCATTTTCATGTCTCCCAATCTGACCCTGATGCAGAACATGCATGGGGGATTATTACAGTGCAAACAGTGAATTGGATTAGTACGATGCATTGCCATGTCTGAAGATGAAAGAGTTCTTGTCCAACAAAGCAGAAATGGACTAACAATTGTCCTAGTTGCTGCTAGCTAGCATTCAGACATGAACACAAGTCAGCACCAATTTGTCACAAGTGATGTCCTTCAGTTCATGTCTCATCAGATGACCCCATCTTTGACTCCTCCTGTACCGATACACATGGCAGAGAGCCAAGAAAGCCATTTTGATCGAGCCACTGATCAAGATAACAGCATGAGCACAAGACAACAGTAGTGGACAAGCTAGGAAGAACAACAAAACCAGAACAAATTTAGAAAGCTGCACAACCACATGAAACCAAGCTCTGCCGCCGGTTTTGATGGAGATGCCACACTTGAGAAGCCGTGCAAACGGCCTGGAGTTTCTGCTGGATGCAGATGCCTGTTCTTGTTCGTATGTGCTCTCCCATCTGATCAGATCAGAGCTGAGTTCATGAGGAATAATCAATTGGTGTTTCTTTAACCAAGAATTAGGTCATCACAACATGGACAGAACAGGATTTGTTTGGTTAGTTGAGTGTTTAATTGCAGTTGGTGGTTGTGGATTGGACAAAACCGGCTGCTGATCTGAATTTTTATTTATTCAGAGAGCATTGAGAGCACTAAACAAGGACGCATGATGGCATGAGCCATGCTGATATCTGAAAAGGGACAAGCTCTTGCTTTTCGCAGTATCAGGCATTTGACTAATGGAATCTTTGCAATGAAACTCCGAAACTTTCAGGCAAAGCTAAAGTTTTGCTGGTTTACCAAATCAAATCTTATGTCCAAATCATGCCATGGTTGCTACTGGGCATTCTGAAAGCTAAATGGCAACCAGATTCTTGTTTGGGAGAGAACTTCAAGAAAGGAACATGGTTTAGGCTCTTGTTTGGAACCTTGTTTACAGATGATTGGGAAAAAAAACCTTGTTTCTTCTGAAATTCATGTGTGACCTTATTTCCATGCGAGTTACAGAAAATCTAGATTTACTCATACTCACAGCATGTCGTAAAAGTTTTATAAAGAAAAACGTTGTATACATATATAGCCATTTCCTTTTCCATGCAATATAATTGTACCCATTTACCACTCTGCAATTCTGCATTGTCCATATGCCCATGAATAGTAGTAACTTTAGGGCCTGTTTAGTTCACGAAATGAAAATTTGTGAGTGTCACATCGGACGTTTGACTGGATGTTGGAAGGGGTTTTAGGACACGAATGAAAAAAATTAATTTCATAACTCGCATGGAAACCGCGAGACGAATCTTTTAAGCCTAATTAATCCACTATTAGCACATGTTAGTTACTGTAGTACTTATGGCTAATTATAGACTAATTAGGCTCAAAAGATTCGTCTCGCGATTTTCTTCCCTAACTGTGTAATTAGTTTTTCTTTTAATCTACATTTAATGCTCCGTGTATGTGTCTAAAGATTCAATATGATGTTTTCGGGAAAAACTTTTTGGAAACTAGACTGGGCCTCACTGGTGCGCACCACTGCAATCACAACCTCAGACATACCACAAAAGGAAAAGACAATGTTGCAAGAACAGGCTGTTGTTGCTGTGATTGCCAGTTACTACTACTATCTCACACAGGCCCAAGTCAGGCATCTTGTTTCCCTTGCAAGCTACACCTAATGATCAACACCACCACTTAATCACACTACTCAAAAGCAAAGATCAGAATTACCATAGTAGTAGTAGTCACATAATCCATCAGCAAAGCTGAAAAAAGCATTAACACACACTGTTAAGCATCAGACAGAAAGAAAGAAGCAAAGCTAACGAACCCAAAGAATTTTGTTTTGCCAAAGAAGGGCAGAAAAACAGCACAGTACAGAATAACCAACCGTCCTGGAATTCCATTGTTTGTCTACTGTCTCTACCTAAGAACATCATGAATGCACTCACTACACACTAGTACCACTAACAGCATCAAATTCCCCCTATGTACATAGCTCTCCCAACTTTTCTACTGCTAGGCTCTAGGCTCTAGTACTCTAGTATCATCTTGTTCCTCCTCCCTTGGGCAACTCTTGCTTGGCTACCATGGATCTTGATTCTCCATTAATGGATGTATGTCACCAATCTTGCAATCTCTGTTTCCTGATCCGAATGTGACATGCCTGAGATTTCATCAGCCACTTCTGCACCTTTCATGTTGTGTTTCAGAATGTTGTACGTACAACAGTAGCAGCAAGCAAGATGAACAAGCTGTCTCGACTGAATTTGTTGTGTTCTTGTTGGATTCTCCATTTTGTTTTCATGTCTACGAGCACGATTTGATCAATCCCAAGCTGACCAGGTTCCTCTTGACGAAGTTGCCAAGGTAGAACAGCCCAATGCCGCCGCCGCCGCCATTGCCATCGACGGCGTCGCGCGGCCCAGCTTTCTGGTAGAGCTGCGGCCGGTGCTCCTCCCTGGCAACGAGACAGTCCATGCCAACCCTCTGCCTCACGGCATCAATGGCGCTCTGCTCGACGGCGTGGCCAGCGGCGTCGGTGACATAGAACACATTGGAGGCCATGTCGCCCTTGGTGGACACCTCCGCCTGCGCCACCAGCAACCCGTTCTCCCTGAATGTCCGGGTGACATCCGACAGCAACGCCGGCCGGTCCGGCGTGCACAGCTCCAGTCTCACTCCCTGAAACACCCAAGAAATCGAACACATTAGCGTCATCTTCCAAATCAATTAACGAATTGCATCTTGGTGTTGGAAATTTGGGTCGATTTGGCTTCGATATACCTCTAGTGATCTCCGTTCAATGGCGTCCTGGAGGCATTGGCTCACTCTGTGGCGCTCGGCCTCGGAGCTGATGGGGCTCCCGTCGGCGTGGCGGATGTAGAACTCCTGGTGCGCTTGGTCGCCGGTGGTGTCGATGGTGCCGTGGAACACGACGTAGTCCATGTCGGTGAGCGTGCAGACGACGTCGAAGAGCAGCTTGGGGCGGTCGCGGCACTGGACGGTGACCACCGAGTACCCGCGCTCCGCCCAGCTCTGGACGGACACGGCGGGGGTCGGGGACGCCGCCGCCGCCGCCGCCGCGCGCTCCTCCTGGTCGCGGTCGGCCGACATGAGCTGGTGGAGGCGGCGCTCGGCGTGCGCGACGGCGGCGGCGGGGACGGCGGCCACGGCGCCGCCGGCGCCGGTGGAGTCGCCGCGGAGGAGGTGACCGAGGCGGGCCTCGATGCGCGCCATCCTCTCGGTGTCGGCCTCCTCGTCGCGGAGGAAGACGAGGCAGCCGAGGCGGCCGCGGTGCGTCCACGAGCGGGCCTCCACGACGGCGCAGTCCATGTCGGCGAGCACGGCGAACACCTCCGAGATGAGCCCCGTCCGGTCAGCCCCCGTCAGCTCCAGCGCCGTCAACCCCTCGAGCGCCGCCGGCCGCGCCGGCCCGTTCCACGTCCCCAGAGACTGCAACGAAGCCATGTACTACGCCATCAGAAAACCCCCCAACTCCGTCGAACACCCGCGCCAGAATCAAAGAAACCACCAAGAACACCCACCAACCTGCTCGATGTAGGTGATGACGCTGTCGTCGGTGAGCTTGCAACCGAGGCGGTCGGTCACATGGAAGACATCCATGAACCACCTCCCATCCGACGAGATGTAGGCCTTGTTGATGGACAAGTCGAGGTCGGCGAGCACCTGCACCGCCTCGAGCAGCACCCCCGTCTTCCTCGCGCTGTCCACCTGCACATCCCCAAATCAGCAACCCTCGCCGCAAGAACACGCACCAGATTGACCCAAGAACCAAACCCACGCCACGCCACGCCGCGCCGCGCCACCGTACATACCTGGACGAGCGTCGCCGTCGAGCACACAGCATTGTCGATCACCACCCTCGGCGTGTTCATCCTGATCACCAGCTTCTCGTACTCGTCCAGCCACTCCATTGCCGCCGGCGAGGCGAGACGGAGGCAGCGAGGGGGCGATTTGGCGGCGAGCGAGACGAACTGGAATTGGAATCGAATTTTGAGATGGGCTTTTTTTTTTTTTTTGGAATTGGAATGCGTGGAATGGGAATGGGAGTGGGAATTGGGGTGTGTGGGGAGTGGGGGTTATTTAAGAGGGGGGAGGAGGTGGTGGGCCCGGGGCAACGTTGGGGGGGGGGAGGGAGGCCAGGTGGGTCGCCACGTGGAGGGGGGTGTGCTCTTGCCTCTCGCTTACGCACTCGCTCTCCATTTCTCTCCTTTGCGTCCGGCTTAATTAAAGCGGGTTTTTCCTCCTTATTCTTGGCTCTTGTTTTTTTTTCTTATCAACCTAACACATTTCTTTTTTTTCCAAGCTGTATTGAGGTTGCTGACAGCTTTGCCTTTCAATTTTACTTAAGTTCATGAATCATATATCATATTTTTTGCATGAAGAAATTTAGGTGTAGTTTGGTCAGCTATAATGTCACGATTGGCAGTGGTGTGTTAGCACATTATTCATCTGGTCTCGCCACTAGCGTGAAACAAAACTAACATAGCGGTTCACTGTTTATGTGGTCTCGCCACCTGCATCAAACAAAACTTTCTTGGCCGTTTATTGTCTGTGCAATCCCGTCATCTACATGACACGAAACACTTAATTTCAGAAAGCAGAAGAAAAGGTTTATTTTCGGTTTTTGTTAGAGAGGTCCAGTCGAGAAACAGCACACACAACTATTACCAGAAGCAACATTACTACTACTAATAGGAAAATAAAACCACCAAGTAATATGGAAGAAATAATATTTGAAAATATGCCAACAGCAACGACAAGTAAAGCAGGAACAGGAGCTGGTGAGTGGGGCCCCCAGGGGGCGTGCCTGCGTAGCGTCTGTCTCCGCGCCAGCTGTCGTGCGGGCCCCACCCGGGTTCGGCTGCCTTTCTTTTCTGCTGCCGTCGCTACGGACGGTCCGGATCTTGCTCCACCGAACCAAACCGATCCCATCACCCTTAAACTGACCAAACTGCCCTCGCCAACCACGGCCACCTCAGAGATGATCCCCAGGGGCATTTCGGTCACTCCACCGCCTCCCGCGCCGTGTCGCGTCGCTGTCGCCCAACAACGCCTCGCCGGTGCGGTGCGGTGCAGCAGCACGAAACACGGATCCACATCTTTTGGAGCTTCCAATGCTGCGTGCTCAGCTCTGCTTTTTCCCTTTAAATCCACTTTATTTAGGAGTACCAGTATTTAGTTACTCCTCTGACACGATCCGACGTGGAAATTACTCCATTCCCAGCGTGGATATTCGATTTGGTAAACAGAATAATATAATTGTATTCGAATTTGATAAAAATGAGGATATTTAGGCTCCCATCGAATCGTCTAATCAGCCAAAGAAAAAGGTAATTTTAAATTTTCAAACTTAATTTTAAGATATTTTCAACGTAGTTTTTTTTCAGCATTGACTTTTAAGTCACCAAGAATATATATATATATATATATATATATATATATATTACCTACAAATTTATTTTTACTTCCTAATAAGCCATTTTGGTTTATCAAGGAAAAAGCCAAACGGTGGGGCTGTTAGTTTTATTGTGAGATGAATAAAAGAAGAGTTTAATTTTAGAATGGAGATTGTATTTTCGCCATGGCCAGATGGAGTACGGCGAGATGGACAAAGGGGCCGGCAGCATCTTACCGGATTTGGAGCTGTGCATTGGCTCTAAATTTGTACAATGCTGCTACAACTAGCATTAATTTGGACGGTTATTAGTAGTGTTGATATGGGAGATTAGTTAATCTGACAAGGTCCCAATATGGTTCTTAATTACTCGAATATGTGGTGTATATTCCTGGTCGGCTTTGCCGACTTTGGCTGTGTCTGGACTCTGGAGTATACGCTAATATGCCCACTGCTGGGTTGTAACGTAGTGCGATGTTTTGTTTACTGCAAATCATACGTTTCTACATCTATTTCACCACTCATGAGAATATACGATATAGGAATTCTAGCTTACAAAAACCTATTAGTGGTCTGATAACATGTAGTGAAAGAGCTTGTCTAGGGTTGTGTTTGAGAGAGGTTAGGATTCTTAAAAACAGCTGTTTAAACTAAAACACCCAGCTTCTGACTTATAATTCATCTTCTGAATTATAGTTCACCTTTTGAATTCTATAATGATATTTTTTTCAAAGTTACTTCATCCTTCTCGAAATATCATATTACAACGAATCTCGACAGGCTCCTCCTAGGATGTGTCACATGAGAAAAAATATTATTTTGGAGATGGAGGGAGTATGTGAGAATCTAGAGTGTTTGATGACCGGGAGATTATAAGAGAAGCTATATCCGATGCAAAGCTCTCTAAACAATATTTTGAGAAATGGTTGCTTGGTAACTACTATCTCCGTCTTAAAATATAATAACTTTTAGCTTGTCCAGATTTATAGCTAAAAATAATTATATTTTGATACGGAAGAAATATTTCATGAGAATTTAAAAAAACTGGACTTTTAAATTTCTAACTTTATTTATTTTATTCTACATCTACATTTTCTTATAATCTGTAAAAAACTAAATTGTTCGGAGAGTTTTAGTTTTTTTTTAAAAAAAAGTGTCGGAAGCTCTGCCAAACAGGTGTGGCACGTTCGTTAGGCCAGTCACAATGGCTAGTGTCATTGCACGGCTACCCAAAATATTATACCATCTTCTCTCAAATGAAATCTTTTATGAAACAATCCCCACAGTGGAGGGGTTTCACTTTGACGTTTCCAAGACTAAGCAAAGCATTTAATTGATACAAGTTGCTGGGATCATTTGTACCCAAAATCCGGCGCGGCGCGGGAGAATGCGGAGGTCGCACGGCGGAGGCGGACGCAAGAGATCCGGTGAATGAAACGAATCGGCCTCAACGGGGGTTTCACTCTGTTACCGAGGACTTGGAAACGACGCTGACGAGTTTCACCAGGATGAAACTCTTTCCTTCTCTCTCATCCCCATTTCATGCAAATAATCATTTTTTATTCAGTCTTACCCCTATTAAATGTGCATGACACACCAGTGAAACCCCCATTGTGACTGGCCTTAGAGCAGTGGTAGTAACTGAGGAGGATCGAGCAGAGTAGTGGGGGCATGCAGAGTGGAGTACAGCGATCGATATTGATGGCGTCGTATCTATCCAGCGCGCGCGAATGTACGTGATCGAACCACATTAATTAATGGCGGATGCGTCGTGAGGGGATGGAGATGGCGCGCGCCCCTCACGTGACGCCGTCCCGTCTCGTCCATCATCAATGGAGTCTTCATTAATTAGGGCGTACTCGTTGTAGTAGTGCTTCTACCACTAGTGGTAGTACCCCATCAGTAATAATTTAGAGCTAACCATAAACCACTTGTGGGTCAATTAAATTGTGCCGTACGTACGTGCGTACAATGTGATGAACAGCTTTATTTATTTTTCCTTTTTGTATTTATAGAGGAGAGGGAGACCGTATATGATTATATGGTCACGTATACGCATTCAAGCTAATAGCAAAGAGCAAAGTTAAGTAGTTGATTTATGGGCACGAATCACGGCCGACGAGGGAGATGATACGTACTAACGGTGTTTATTTTTCACTCATCGTAATTCTGGATTATTCAGATGAATCTGGACAGGATAAAACATTCTCTATTACTCCATCTCAAAATATAAACATTTTTAACTATAAACTAAAAAGATAGCCCACGCATTCGCGCAGGCATGTATTGTTTCAAACACTATAACAACGGAATATAAACTATAGAACATTTTCAGAATATAAATCGGAAAGGAATTTCGCATAAATGCACAGCCATCTTATTTGTTATTAAAAAAAATGCTAAAAAGAATCATACATCACTATATATATATATATAGTGTAAGAGAATTTAGATCATCCTACAATAAAAAATAAATATATTTACCATAAAATAGATGGTAGATTTTAATATACTACTAATGTGATAAAAATGTCTCTTAGATTTAAATAAAAATCCATTTATCCTGATCATATATAAACGGGATGTTTGTCATTACTACTTACTATCATTGTTTACTAACATCGTTTTAAGAGTTATGTGAACTTTTAATAAATGAAGCTGTATTAGTACCACTAAAACAAATGATACATTATTAATACACTAAAAAATTCATCTACACTACATAACCCGGTATTCATCACTTATTTTCACATGTATAAATAGTATAAATATACCATACTTAATATGATAAGAATGCATCTCTAATGGATGAAGTATATATGTAATGTCTTAAAACATATAGATCCCGCATCGATGTAGCCATGCCCCTAAAAACCATCATACAGTACAATTATAACACTTAGTACACTATTGGTACACTCACAAATGATTATATTGGTAACTATGTCACTTTAGTTACATTGCCTACAATAGCCTTTCATGGACACCACCTTAACTCAACCATGTACATGCCCATGCAATATATATGATAGCATAGCAAGTATTGCATCCTGCATTGAACGACAAAGAGGACAGAAAGAAGGAGGAGGTGATGAAAACAATTTTTTTTAAAAAAAATTTGAGTCGATTTGTGGTAGAGAATAGACAAAATGTGTATATGAAGTTAGTAATAAGTACTTATCAAATTTTAATGGAATACATACAATATCATGTTTTTTAAATGAGTGAGGTTAATCATTCGCCACTACCTAAAAAAAAGCTAAAGAGACGTACCACCATAAAAATCTGCAAAACACCATATCATTATTTATATTTTGATAAATATTTATACTTTAGCGCCAAATTTGTTTCCACCATATGTTGTTATAATTATATGAGACTCATTTACTAATTCTAAGAATGTACTTATTTTTTCATTCGAAAAGAATGTACTTATTTTCACAAACTTATTTACACTAACTAATTCGCTAGAGTGCACATACAGTTGGGTTCTGTGGTGTATAACATTTGTCAACTATATATCCGGTATATTAGAATTTCTATCAACTATAAAAAAATATAGCATAAGTAGTTTTATGCGTATTTTATTGGATTATTCATGTTTTGCCAATACTACTTAGCAAAGATAATACATAATTCTCGTGATGAAT